TTAGCCAGCATGCTTGGCTGGGGAATTCTGGGAGTTGAAGTCCACACACCTTAAAGTTGCCAGGTTTGAAAAATACTGATCTAGAGTGAGTGTATCCAAACTACGAAGTTCCTATGAAGTTTGGCACAACAATTTTCCTTTGAAGTTTAATGCACCTGTTTTGTCTTTTAGTGGCAAATTGGAATATTGATGATCCGTCTGTTAAATTTTGGCAGCTGCCTTCCTATGTCTTAGACTAGCCTTCCCCAATTTGGCACTCTCCAGATATGAGGACTTGGAACTCCCAGAATTCCCCAACTAGCGTAGCCATTGCCCAGAATTCTGGGAATTGAAGTCCACTCATTTGGAGGGCTCCCGGATTTGGGAAAGCTGTTTTAGGATAAACAGACCTGCCGTTATAAGGCTCTTTACACAAGTCTTTCTCATCTTGATGTCCCCCAACGAGTTGGATGAGAACACCCCTCATCCCCAGCTCACCTGGGAAAACAATGGGACATCGATGGGTGGTTTAAACCCTTTTGTCAGAGAAATAACGACATTCAAGAAAGCTGAGTTAAGTGTGAGCAACAACTACTTTTGTGCCTGAGAGGGAATTCCAGTGGCTTATAAATTTTAAAATGACTCATTTGGTGACCTTGGGGCTGAAACACGCTACATGGCTGCATTGAGGCTTTTCTTCTGTTGCTTTCTTGTCTCTTGTGTAGTGGCTGTTGAGGAGTGGGGTGCTTGAAATGAGCTACAGTCACCCTCTCCTTTGCTCTCTTCCGCCTAGAACCATCAAGGGGGCAGCTCCGTATCACCCCCCCTCCATTTTTCACCTAAAATCTTGCAGTAGGAAGACAAAAGCAAATTAGGTACACCAAAGAAATGGAGGGACTGCTCTCGCAGAATCATAGAAGGGTACTTAGAGAACTTGTAACTCAGTGTTTCTCAACCTCGGCCGCTTTAAGACGTGCGGACTTCAACTCCCAGAATTCCCCAGCCAGCCATGCTGGCTGGGGAATTCTGGGAGTTGAAGTCCGCACGTCTTAAAGCGGCTGAGGTTGAGAAACACTGATCTAGCTGAACTCCTCCTGGAGGCAGCCTGCGCATTGAATGACCCAGTTAAAATATTCTTATCAGATGATCATCTGCTCAGGCTTGGGTAAAATAGAGGATGAGCAGAGGCATTCTCTTGCATCTTTTTCCCCATTAAGGCTTCTTGTTCAAGCTGTTACAAGGGAATTTGTTTTCCCAATGTATTTTCAAGGGGAAGAGAATTTTAGATCAACCTCATGGATAGAGTACAGTAATGTTGCACTTAGTGCAATAGGTGGCCAAGGGGGGGAGGGTGTGCATGCGCCTTTGTGTTGTCTACAGTGATCTTTAGCAATTCCTCTTTATAAATCCAATGGGCATTTTTGAAAGGCTGCTGGAGTCCAGCTCTAAATCCCTAATCAGCTGCCAAACGGCTTTTGATTTTAGGAAGTTTCTCCTAAAATTCTGATTTCTGACATCAGGGCCTGTTGTAGCAGTGGGGAGATTCACTCCATTTCCTGCTAACAATTCTTCAGGCAAGCTTGCTTCTGACACTCAAGTTTTTCAATAGAAGAGGATATCGGAGGTTGAACCGTGGAGTTCTTGGTGTTCTCTGAGCTTGGTTGTTTACTTGTACATCTTTCATGACCCAGTTAGTTAACATCATCAGTGCGAGGGAGTCAAGAACTCCATAGCTCACGTGTTTAAAGAATTTGAGAACAGAGGGATCAAAGGGATGGAGAGACGAAAGAGTTTGAATGCCACATCCTAGCTTAAGTATGGTGCTTACAACTAAAGTTTCCTCAACTCCCGATGACTTTACGGAAACATTCATTCAGTCTTCTTAGCAAGACTGTGGTTTGTTACTGCCTTTTTCCAAAAATTTTTTTTTTAAACTTTTCAGTCCAGCACCCATTTCTGGGGGTAGTCTTCTTTCCAGGTAGTGACTAGTTTTGACCTTGCTTAACTCTTCAAAATCAGCAACGGTCAGCTTGGTATTGTTACCTGTTATCCCAGAGTACTAGATTATATCAAAATGGAGTAGGGTAGACTTCTCTGATTCTCTTTCTGCCTCCCTTTGGAATTCCCTAATACCTGAATCCTGGGCCAATCATGGCTTGCCTCCATCCGAGCTAGAATTGGGAACTGTGTTTGAACTGGAGGACCTGTAGATTTGTACATAATGTGAGGAGGGAAGGACTCCATATGTTTAGAGCCTGTTCATTGTGGCTGAGCTGTGATTTGGTTATTTCATCTATACTAAGCTACTGAGTGGGACTATCTAGCTAGGTTAACATAACACAATAATATATGGCCCTCCAGATGTTACCAAACTACATCTCCCAGCATTCTTTGGTATTTGCCATGCTAGCTGAACAGGGCCAGATTAAGGCCAACTGATGTCCTAAGCCAGTGTTTCTCAACCTTGGCAATTTTAAGCTGTGTGAACTTCAACTCCCAGAATTCCCCAGCCAGCCATGCTGGCTGGGGAATTCTGGGAG